CAAGTGCATAAAAATAAATTTCAAATTACACTATTAAAATTACTTTCGTTTTACTTAATCAATTTATATTTGTTATTTTCTAATGTAATTTATAGCTTTTTTTTTTAAAAAAAAGATATATTACTAATATCATTTAATTGCTGCATAAGGATTAAAATTTTTTTGCTAATTATTAAATTGAAAAAAGAAACGAAAATTTTTGAAATATTCAAAAAATATTCACAAACATTAAAAAGTTCGTGTTTTGCCCCTTTTTTTTTTCGTTTTTGTTTTTAAAGCAATATAAAACAGATTAGAAATCAAATGAATGGAAAAATTTTCTCTTTTTTTTTTCTTTTGATAAATAAGCAGCTATTTCATTAACCAATCTTTTATTTGTTTTGAAAAAAAATTTTTTTCATAATGAAGTATTTACATCTTTTGCTTTTGTTAATATTACCTATAAATTTTATAAGCATGTAAACATTAAATCTGATTATCATCTGAATAAAAAATAAAATTTTAGAGATGAAAAATAAAATTCTCATCTGTGTTTAAAGCATTATAAATTAAATTTTTTATTATTAATAGATAATAGCGAAAGAAAAAAAACAAATGAATGATAAATTTTTCAAAGAATTATGAAGAAAACGATATTAAATGATAAATGAAACATTATATGGATAATAATATTTGTGATAGTGAAATGAAAGTATTATAAAGTTGAAGAACGTCATTTTAATGTCAATAGTAGTTTATGTCATTTTAGCAAACAAAAATTGAAAATAAGACCGGTTAAAAGTTTGATTTGTGGCTTAAATCAATACGATTGATGAATGATAGGAATAGAAATTCAACTTAACTACGAATAGTACCCAGTCAACAAATTCAAATTCTAGTCAAATTATTTTCCATTACAACTAACTCATTCATTTCATTACGCTATTATCGTCTTAATGGATGTGTTACAATTTAAATTGCTTATTGCTTCGATCATGACAATGATAGTGATAAACAATGTAAGCATATACATATATATATCTTAATATTACATTTATTAAATTAAAAATATAATAATTTCGTATTAATTTAATTAAAATGTTATTACAATAATATTTTCATTTTATTCTTCAATTATACTAAATAAATTGAAGGTATAGGCTGAGCATATGAAGATACGCATGCGACGTCAATTATGCGGATGCAATCAACTGCAACAAGTGCAACCATGGATTGGCGAATTATGCATTTGCGTCCCAAAATCATCCATATTTTCGATGTCATGCATATGTCCACAAGTGCAGCAACAGTTACAACAATCAAATTATTGCGGATGCAATTTGCATGCACATATCGGACAGCAATGTCAAACAGGTTGCCAACAGTCATGTAACACGCAGTGCAATCCGTATATGTCACAAATGCATTGTGAGAATGCATGTAATGATGCATGCATACAATCATGCAACTTGCAACAGCATCAAAATCAACAATCTGGTAATTTACTCTATTGGAATCCAAATATAAATTCATTACAACAATCATATCCATATTCTTATCAACAATTATCACCCATTCTGGAACAATGCTTCATTTGTTTAATTAGTTGTGAACAATTATGCAACAATCAGCAACCATTTCTGGATGGTAATCGCATGCAATGCGGTTGCATGCAACAGTGCCAGCCAAGTTGCTCATCTAGCAACATGCAATCACAACCATTTTCAATCATACAGCAACAATGCATGCCACATTGTCAACAGAATTGTCAACAATTTTGCAATCAACAAATGATAAGCAATCAGCAATGTCAACCACAATGCAAGCAACATTGCACCGATATTTGCATCATATCATCGGAATCACAATTTGCCACATCGATGAATCCATTTAGCAATCCAATTTCATATTCATATTTGTTTCCACATCTTACCCAATTACAATTTTGTTTTGCAAATTGTTTTGATAGTTGCAAGCAATCATGTGGAAAACAGCAAACTATCCAATGTTCTAATCCATGTACACAAAATTGTCAACAATTTTGTCATTATTATCAACAACAGCAACAAACTTTACCTGTTATTCAGCAAGCTAAACAACCATATAAACCACAGGTCTAAACCTCTTTTTTTTGTTATCTTTTTTTCTACTTTTCAAACATTTATTTTTAAATTAAACGAAATTTTTAGAGACTAAATTCAGAAATTATCGTCATTACTGGATAAAATTGCTGCTCGAGAATGAAAAATAAGAAGTTATATTTTAATTAAATTAACATATTTATATGGATGTAAGCATCGCTTGTCATCCTCATACTTTCAGTCTTTTGTAAAATAAGCAACTAAAAAATTAGGGGAAACATTGACCGACATATTGATTAATAATTCGTAAATCTAAAATTTGAAAAGTTAAAAAAAAAGAAACATACATTCATATCAGCAAAATTTGCTAATACAAATTTAATCTTTTCGATGATTGGTTCATTTCTCAACTACAACTAACAGTAGTAGTAATAGCAAATACTATTATATGGTAATAAAAAAAAAGAAACTGATGATAACTTTTAAACTACTTATAATCGAATTAATTAAAAAAATAAACAAAATATTTGATGATTAATATTACGGAATTTTTTTCTGGACAGTCAGTATTCATCAAAATATATTATTATATGATTATTGGAATTTGTGCCGAAATAAAATGTTATTCTACTAACAAATCAATTGGTACTAAGAAAAAAATAAAAATAAAATTACTTATTAATTATCAATAGTTTAATTTATTGACAAACTTTTAAATCATATTTAAATATTTATTAACTATTAAATTTTTTTTTCTATGTTTTTTGTTCATTTCATTTTCAGATAATTCGAGTAGGCCTTCATGCTTCAATGCTTGAATCAACACAATGCATTCCACAATGTCAGCAAACATGCTTACAGCAATGTAGCACAAATCTTATCAAAGCACAATGCCAACCAGCTTGTCAAACAATTTGTCAACAAAATTGTGGTCATCGTCAATTACCGTTACAAACACAACAACAACAACAACAACAACAGTTGACACAATGTCAACAAACAACGATAATGCATTGTTATTGTACAAATGGCAATATTCCATGTAATAACGGATCGCAATGTTGCAAGAAACATTAACTAACTCTTTCATCAAACTTTTTATGTAAACACTTCTTTGCTAGTCTAATGTAAATATATACGTCAAAAAGTTGTTAACGCAACTTTTTTTCCTCCCTCTCCTTCTCCCTCTCTCTCTCTCTCTTTCTCTCTCACATTCATCCACTCTCTCTCTCTCTCTGTTCATGTCAATTTTAAAGTTAGGTCTTAAATTTAAATTTAACGTACTGAATTTTTTTTAACGCTATAATTAATTTAATTTTTCTCTAATAAATAATTAATATCAATCCAATTAATATTTAGATAATACTTGATAAGTATGATAAAATTATAACTTTGTTTGAATTTTTTTTTTTGTTAATTTTTAAATCTTCCAAATAATAAAAGAATTATGTTAGATACATTTTTGAGAAAAAAATAACGAAGAAATTAATGATTTTTACAGTTATTCATTAATTCCTTTCAAAAAAAAAAAAAAAAAACGAGGGTAAATCATTTAATTTTTAATTTTTTAATATAGCAATTTTCGGTCTTTTGTTTGAAATTTTTAATGTCTATTAAATAATGAAAATTGTAACAGTGATGAAAAAGCACTATGACAAGATTAGTTTCATCTGAAATAACAGAAAAACGAGTTAAGTATTATTAAAGTATGTCGAATAATAATAGTGATAATAATAATAATAATATTAATAATTATAATAATAGTAATAATAATAATAATTAACAATAATAATAATGATTATATAAAATGATTATTTCGTTCAATTAATTGGAGAATTTAATGCAAATTTTCAAATTTAAACCAACCTTTTCTTCCATCTATTTTTTGACCGCTATCTGATTCCTTATCATACAATAATTTTCAATTTAAAAGTTCACTAATTGACATGGAGGTGAAAATCAAACTATCATCCCGAAAATACGAATATTATTATTTTTTTTTAATGAAATTATTGCAATAAAGTTTTAAATGAGCATATTGTGTTTTATAGCTAATAGGTCCTTCTTTTTTCTTTCTCTCTATTATCAGTAAAAAAAATAATACAGAATAATTTGTATTTTTGTTATAATCAAATTTGAAAGAACATAGGATTATCACTAATGATAAAATTTGATTTGTGTAATTAATCGATTGGATTCATATTGCAAATAAAATATTATCATATCATATACTCAGATCCACTGCAATGATTCACGCATATTTTTTTTTAATGCAGAAACCATTCCTATTTCTTCAAGTTTGTTCCGGAAGACGAATTGTTAAATAATTTCAAATGTTGAACGGACTACTACTGCACTAGCGATTGTTATCTTTTATCTCTGAATTATCATCATTCATTTCATTATTTGATATTATTTTATATCAATTTTAAAATCGTTAATAATTTTAGATATAACAAATTTAAAATCGTAAATTATGACTATATTAATGCACTAATTATTTAATGTTATTGCATTTAAGATTCATTTCAGTTTTAATTTAACATTCATTTCGGCATTTTTTCACTTTCGATCATGAAGTATTAGGCAAGATGAAATCTTTTTTCATCTCTAATTTGACATTTATTGTAGTAATAAAATTTTTTTTTTCTTCAAATGTTAAATTTATTTTGAAATTCAGAAACTTAAAACGAATTTCAATTGTAATTCATAAAATTTCTTCAATACTAATTAAATTTAATAGTTATCTATGCATATACCATTTTCATTATTTTTCATAGTTTCTTAATTAATAACGCATTATTTTGCATTCATTTAAGCATTTTTAAGTTTTCATTAAAATGTCACATTTTGATAGCAATAAATTCATTTTTTTTTTTTTTTAAAAAAAAATTAAAGCATTAAATTTTATTTCAGAACATTGGAATCTTTTACAAACGATCATTTTTTTGCGCCTTTCCGATGATCTTTGCGTGAAAGAGTACGTGAAAGACGTCGGAACTTATTCCATTCCTAAAATAAAAAAAAAAGAAGAAGGACGAATAAACAAATAGAAAAAGCTACAGCAATAATTTTAAAATAGTATGTTTGAAAACATCAATTATTAGGTAACTCACACTCTGATATTCTTGATAGCGTTTCCAGGCTTCCTCACTGTAACCTTTCCGCCGTAAAGCATCCAATCTTGCTGTAAACATTCTTTCTCAAAAAGCATATATAATGTGAAAAGGAAAACGATAATACGTGATCTGACGTGATTACGTGAAGCATGAACCATTAAAGTAAATTTTAATAAGTTATCCATAAACATGAATCTGTGTTCTCCTTTGCGCTGATATTTTAATTATGGATGAATATGTAGAAAATTTTTAGAATAGCTTGATAAATTTGAACTATAAATTTTTTTCCTAATGTACAATTGCGCCATCACAGATCGTAACGAGTGATTTTTCGCCTTGAGAAAAAAGAAAAATTCATTCTAACTTGTAAATGCTTCTAAAAAATTTTTATCAGATTCAAATCTAGGTTTTATTTCCTAATTTTTTTCTCTTCTTTTTAAAATTCAATTCATGGCATAAAATTTGCTTTTAAATTAAAAAATTTAATTTGAATGATGTGACAATGGAAATAATTGAATTAAAACTTACGATCCTTAACACTCTTCTCTTCCTGCAAATATAACTGTAATTATTACCAGTAATATTTGATATATTTAAAATTACTAAAATGAAATTCAATATTTGATTATTCAAATTGCTGACGTACCGATTCAACCGATGTGTCTTGTTCTGATTTCAGCTCCTGTGTTACATCCGTAACCTCAACTGATTCTGACACTGATTCCGGCGGCGATGTTAGTTCAAGTACAGTAAGCACTGGTATTTCAGGTATATATGGAATTTCTACTTCTTTCGATAACTCCAATAGATACAATTCAGGTTCAGATATTGATTCTATTTCAGGAGTTACTGATATTGGCTCACATTGAGAAATTTCTTTTTCTGGTAACAGCTTGACTGGTTCAGGTTCTGGTAGTTCTACTTCTAATTCATATCCCGATTTTGCTTCAGATACCGGTTTCAATTCTTCCTCCAATACAAACTTAGATTCTGACATATGTTCCGGTTCTGGTTCATGTTCCGATACATCATGTTCAGATTCATTCTCACATGATGCACAAGCTTTTGTGAGAAATTCTACAAAAGAATTTAAACCAATTAGAGATTTTATTTTTAATTTCATTTACAAAAAATGATTAAAAATAAACTAACCATTTTCATCATGCGAATTAACTTCTTGTCGTGGAGTTGTAGTCTATAAAATAAAAAAAAGATTTTTTTTCTTCTTTTTTTGAAAACAGAAAACTTCAAGAACGGAAAAGGTAATAATATATATAATAAGATTATACTCGTAATGGAGGTCGTTCACCAGCTTCAACCTTGATCGCTTCCTCAACAAAATGACCAATATTGAAACCGGATATTGCTGTATCAGGAATGTTAAATTGATCACATAAATTACGAATTATCTGACGAACAGTTAATCTATAAGCAAATATTTGTTGCATTTAACATATTTATTATATTTCGTAGTATATATTTCAAAATTCAATTTAATCATATTTTTAAATGGAATAAGTATATTAAATACAATAAGCAAAAATGACAACAATATGATGATTTCTGTTATGCTAATGCAAAAATCAACAATAATATATTTGTTGTATTGAATAATTGTATAATTTTAGTAAATGGAATAATTTTAAAATTTTAAACAAATCTCGTCAATAAAAGTAAATAGAAAATTTACGTCTCTCTTTTACATTAATGAAGAAGAAAGAGAAAAAGAGAGGAAGAAAAATTCAACTTAAATTTATTATACATAATTCTTTGTTCTCTTTTGACAACAAATTTTGCAACAAAAAAAAAAAAAATTGTTTTTTAATTTAATTAATTAAATGCATAGATAATATAGTCTTATGCTTTTATTCTGACAGGTAAATGAGAGGAATTAGGGAAGAAGGCAAATTTATTTGCTCGTACAGTAAATCTAAAAATCGTTTTACATTTTTAATTTGAAATGACTTCATCATTTCAAATCCTAATCATATATTTTTAGTTTTAAAATGTTTTCAAATTTTAATTGCAATAATTTCAAAATTTAATCTTACATTTTCATAATTTTAAATGATTTCAAATCTTTTTTAAGTTTTATCATTTAATTTGATGTGTTAAAAAATTGTCAATTTGAATGAAATTACAACGATCAAAACCTTTTGCCACCAAACCAAATTTCAATATTGCCAACATTTTTAATTTGACGTCTAAAATAATGCAATTTCTTTAATGTGTCAGCAGCAATTTCAATAGCAATTGTTGTAAGTGCTAAACCAACAGTTATGTATAAAATTGTTATTGCCATATAAGTTCGTCTGCAAATTTAGTTTTTATTTTTATTTTTTACCCTATAAAAAAATAAAAATAAATAAAACCTATAAAAAAATATAAAAAAAAAACCTATATTTTTTACCCTATAAAAATAAAAAAAAAATAAATAAAAAAATAAAAATATTTACAAATAATTTTACCGAAAAAAAATTTCTACTAAAAAAAAAAGGAGAAATTAAAAGTAAAATTACAATATAAATTTATATTAATATAATAAAAATAATATCCTAATATCAAATAAACAACAATGATAATTAAAAAAAAATTTTTTTTAAAGTAATTAAAATCAAACCTTTGTGGTACAATATCACCAAGTCCAATAGATGTTAATGTTATAAAATTGAAATATATAGCCTAAAAAATATTACACTTTGAAATAATTTTTCATAAACTAATATTATCAATTTCTCTTTTTTTTTTTTAAAAAAAAGCCATTAGTTTTACATTGTTTACATTATCATTATAATGAAATGAATATGTAAGATGAATAGTAATTAAAAATAAAATATTGAAATAAACTTAATGAAATAGGAAATGAATTATAATTAAATAATTGTTTCACTTTTTTCCTTTTCTTTTCTTTTTATTTAAGTAAAATAAAATTTGCTTTGTTAATTTTGATTAATTACTTACAGTGAAAAATGGCATTTCAGGTTCATAGCTACTGAGTAACAATGAACCAGTAATAACATAAATGAAAAATAGTACAAAAAGTGCTAATGTTCGATTTGATTGTTCATTATCATCAGTCATTTCTGATTTTGCATCTGTTCCATTAATCTTTAATTTTATGAATTAATTTTATTAAAAATTTTTTTTTCTTTACTTATAAAAAAAAAAAAAATTGCCAGAAATTAAAAAAATGAAATATTTATTTTCCATTTTTTTTTTTTTTTTTTTTTTTTGAAAAATAAAGAAAATACCTGTTTATCATCGTTATTTTTTTGTCCATTTATTTCATTATCATTTTTTTCACACAGTAATTTACCTTTAGAATTATTACTTATAAATTTACTTGATTTATGATTACATATTATCATCTTAAAACGTTTTCGCAGCAATCGTCTAAAATTGAAGATTAAAATAAAAAGAGAATAATTGAAAGAATTTTTAAGATAACAATCAATTTATAAATTTGGAAAAACATAAAAGATTTCATTGATAAAATTTGTCTTTTTTCTTTCTCGATGTAAAAAAAAGACAAAATTTTGCTCATAAATTTTTTGATTTTTAAAAACAATTGTGAAATTAAAAAAAGAAAAATAAAGTAATAACTTTATTTCATTATTGAAACGATCATTGCAAGCAAAAATAATTCGAGAAATAAATTTGCCAAGATCAGCAATAATAAGTAGTGTTAATGGTACACCAAATGCAGCAAAAAAAATACAAAACATTTGTCCTGCGAATGTTTTCGGCGTAATATTGCCATAACCTTAAGTGAAAAATAAAAATAAATAAATTAATTAATTAATTGTATTTCTGAAAATTTTTACTATAAATATAATTAGTAAAATTATAAATTTTAGCAATAAAAAGTTATCATAAAAAATTATCAATTTTATAATATTCTTCAAAAATAAAACAAAACAAAATATTATATTACATGTGAATAAGTATTATATTCACAGTTTATTTATAAGTTCCATTATTTTTGCATTACTTATTTTCTCATTTAATTCTATTTTGTTTATTTGTTTGTTTTTTTTTCTTTTTAAATTAAATGAAAACAAACCAATTGTTGTAATAAGTGCAAATGCAAACAATAACGAATCAAAAAATAGCCATTCATTAACTGATGAATCTTTGTTCATTCCCGAATCTGAATAAAGTACAAAAAAAGAAAAAAGAAGCGAAACAATTGTAACTAACTAAATTTGTTTATTTTTAAAATTTATTGAAATTAGTTGCTATTTTGTAAAATTACAACTATACTTCAATGATTTGTCTCATTTTTCTAATTAAATTAGTACTTGAAGAGCTATAATTATATTCCAATTACATTAGTTTATCTCACAAAATAATTATAATTTTTTTTTGAAGATTATTATTGAATGAACCTTGATAATTTGATGATTGATTATATGTTGATAAGTAATTATTGTAATCATCCCTTTGTTCATTATTTGTTACATTTGAAAGTGAAAGTAAATTGTAATAATAGCAATGTTTGAAATAGCGAACTGACAAACGATCGAATATAATATTAGAACAATTGCTTTTTCTCAACAAATTCTAAAACCAATCTCAAATTTAAAGGAAAAAAAAGACAGAATTAAAAATGTTTGATTTTTATAATTAATATTTACAAAATTTATTCTAATACAATTGTTACGATTAGTAATTTTAATAAATTAAAAATTTGAAAGATGTAAACTAGCAATGCCAAATGTTTTGTAAACAATTAATAAATTAAATAAAATGATTTGATAACCAAAACTATTAATTGTTTCACTTTTGCTAAAATCAATTTTATATAAACATTCATTTTTATGAATATTTCTATTAATTACAATCACATATATTATTTTTATTGCATCTTTTATGCTAAAATTTTGAATCGAGAAATTTATAAAACAAAAAAAAAAAAAAAAAAAAAAAAAAAAAAAAAAAAACTATGTTTAAATAAATAATAAGTTATATTAATTTGTAATAAGTTATGTCTATTTAAAAAAAAAAAAAAAAGAAATTTCACTACCTTGATAATATCAGTTATACATTGACGTGTACTATTCCAATGATTCATATAAATAGGTGAGATTATTAGTGAATCTAAATATTTATCTTATAGTTTTAAATAAATAATTAATTTTTTTTTTATTGGGGAATTATTGTTTATCGAGAGGAATAAAAAAATATTTAATAATGCGCATTTTATTTTTTTAACAGATAGATTTACAAAAATAATACTTATCACAACTGTTGATGATAATTAATTATAAATTCATTTATTTCTAAAAGTAATTAATTATATGATTGCAAAATTAATAAACATTCTTATACTGTAAAATGAACTTACGAGTGGAAATTTGAGTGATATCGTTGTGTAATGGAACATTTGACAGGTGATCTACCTGTTCTTTAGTTTCCAAATATGATAAAATGAGTGCTCCAAAAATAGCATAAATAGAAACAATTGTTATTAATAAAATACGCAAAAATATTGGTCCCATCTAAAAAAAAAAAAAAAAAAAATTTAAAAAAGCTTCAAAACATTTTAGCTAAAGATTTGTAATGCTGAATTGTAAGCAAAGAAGTAATAATTTTTTGAAGAGAAAAAAAAGAAGAGAAATAAATAGAAAAATGAAGTGAAAAATTAAACTTAATAAGATAAATTTTTAAAATTTAAAAGGAAGAAAAAAAAGTTATTTGTTTATTTGTCTCACTTTTTTTTCTTTTGAAAAGAATTTATTAAATATTCTTTATAATATTATAAAATGATTATTAAAAAAAGTGCAAAAAATTAAATGTTAAATTATGAATGTAAAAAAAATCATAGCGAAAAAAAAATTGAATTTCGTTTCATTTTTGAAGTATAAAAGACAAATTAATGAGTAATATTTAACTCTAAATGAATTGAATAGAAAAAGAATAAATAAATAAAATTATATTAAAAAGGCGAATAAATAAATAATAAACAAACTTTCGAGCCAGCAATACGTAACCAACTTTTTAGCATTTTTTCCTGTTTTATTGCTTGTTGCTTGTTACAACTGTTCGGCAAATTTTCTTTATATATCTGGTTAATATCAAAAATTTGAAATTATTGATGTTTATTTAAAAAATAAACAAAAGAATCGAGCAAAAAAAAAGAAAGAAAAAACAAAGGTAATACTTATTAAGTGTAATATAAACAAAAAAAAAAAAAAAAAGAAAAATGGCAACAATAATTTTATCAACTTTGTCATATTTCGAATGAAGAAAAAAAAAATATTTTGTATTTGGAAATTGAAAAATTTATTAATTTTAATTAGATGGAATAAAAATAAATCGAACAAATAAATTAATAAATTATTAATATCAAAAGAAAAAATTACTTATAGGCTTATATTCGTTACATAGCAATAACATTTACAATAAAAAAATGTTAATTTTTAAAAAATTGTAAAAGTTCAAAAAAACGAAAGAACTATTTATCTTTATTTTTTTACTTTCTAATATTACATTTGCTATTAATAGAAAATTAGAAATATATTTAGAAGAAAAATAATAGTTTAACTAAAAGCATAAAACATTAATGCTTTAATGAAATTTGACAAGCAATCTTATCGGTGCTGTATAATTTTAAATTTTGATATTTTTTTTTTTTAAAAAAAGTAAAAAAAAATTGGAATAAAATGAAAGAATTGCTAAATAACGAAGAAAGGAGGACGAGAAAAAAATCTTTTTTTTTAGCGATAGCTGCAATTTTAATTGTTGTTGAACAAATAAGCAATAATGAATTGTATTGGCAAAAAAAGAAAAAAGAGAGAGAGGAAAAGAAGAAAAAAAAAACGAAGTTTCAGAGATGACAAATCTCTTTCTCTCTTTGCTTATCAATCATTAGCATAACAATATAAAATCAAATTAGTTAGAAATTTAAATGATTCAAAAGGAAAAAAATTTTTTTTCCTTTCCTATTTTTTTGCAAAATTTAAACTTTTATTTGACAAAAATGTTTACTAAAATATTTTATTACATACAAATAATGTATAGGTGAATAATTATCATAGCAATAACAATTTCACACATATTATCACTACTATCAGTTATTCATATTGCATATAAAAATTGTTACATTATCATCGTTATCAGTTATAAGTAATTCTAATATAAATATTTCTCTCTCTCCCTCTCCCTCTCTCTCTCTCCCTCTTCCTCGTTAAAATTTATAATTAGAATGAAAAAAAAAAAATAATTTTGTGAGATATTTGAGAAACATTTATTAAAAAAATTTCAGGCGAGATGGTGTGACTCGATTATTTTTGTAAATGAATAAAATTATTTCTTAAAAAAAAAAAAAAAATTCACTAGAGCACTTAGAATTGAATAAGTCAAAAAAAAATTTTTTTAATGTAATTTTTTAAAATTAAAAAGAAAAGGAAAAAAAAACGGAAAAAGAGAAAAGAAAAATAATAATTAAACAAATGATTATATTATATTATATCATTTAATTATTTACAAATATCAAAATTAAATTATTGTTTGTGATAAGTCGTTGAATAATTACTTTCAAAAGAAATATTAAACTTATTACTAATGATTTCAAATTTATATAAGAATATTTTGATTAACAGAATACTTCATTTTAGCGCTTCAAATACATGTATATATATCCTTATTCCAATTTCTAAAAGTTCAACGATTTAAAAAGATCATTGGAATTGCAAATTGAATTAACATAGTGATTTCAATTTCTAGAATGTTTCTAGAATTTCTAGAAACATTCTCGAAATTACTTATCAGGATGAGTGGTACTCATATCATTTATCAATGTTATCATAAATAAATGCAAAATGATAACAATTCAAGTTACCTTCATTAGATTTTAAAATCGTCTCATACTGAAATGAAAAGATTGCAAAATTGGAACTTATAATATAATTTTTTTTTAATTTCAAGCAAATTTATATGTCAATTTTGAATTTCAAAACAATATCTGATAAGCTATATTCGTTTAAGGTAAAAAAATTCGAGGAAAAATTTTCACGAATTTGATTAATAATATAAAATTAATCTAACATGAATGAAATAAAATTGTCTCGCAAGAAAACTTGAAAAAACATATTCAAACATTTTTGAAAATTTTCAAGAAAAAAGTTATTTTCAATAATTAAAATTGATCATCTGAATGCTATAATTAAAATGCAGCTAAAAATACAATTTAAACAAAACAAAAGCAAAAAAAAAAAAAAACGAAAAATAATAAAATATCAAATATATTTGTAATATTATCCACTTATTTCCTTCTTTTAATTTTGAATAATTAAATTTTCGCTAATAAATTTTAAATGATAATAATGATAAGAATTGTGGAAAATATTTTTGTAAATATGAATGAATTGGTCAGAAATTATTTTTTCATAAAAATTTAAAATTATAATTACAATCAATTAGAAATTTTAAAATTATTTTACATTTCTGTTAGAAAAATGAGAAGTAAATATGAATCTTTTATTAATTAAATTAATAGAATATCAGATAATTTTTGAAAATTTCATAAAAATAAAACTAACAAAAAAGAAAAAAAAAATGGAATTTCTTTTTTTTTTTTTTTTCAACCCAAGCAATATGTTCTATTAAATGCTATCACCGAACAATTTGATTATTCATTTGCTCTAATCCACCTAAAAATGTTTCACAAAAGTTTTCATAACATTTTATCATTTATTTAATTAAGTTAAAGAGCACAAAAAAAGAGAGAAAAGCAAGAGAATTCATTAAAACAGATAATTTGATAATTAGCAAATGTAATTTTGATAGAAAAAACGATACCGTTGCTACAATTTTTTTTTTGCATATTTATTTATTTATTCATTTCTCATTGCCTAATTATTGTTTGCTTGTTTGCTTATTTCTTGTCCTACATTATTGCCTAATAAGACAGAAATATTCATTTTTAAAAAAATTCACTACTTTAAGATCATAAAATAATAGATTTTGTATAATTTATTTTAGTACAAATGAAGAAAAAAAGTAGATATTTGATAAGTCATAAACCAAAAGCAACATTGTTGCACAAAAAAAAAAAAAAAAAAAAAAAAAAACGAATAAACATGAAAGAATTTATTATAGTTGAAAGTGAATATTTTAATTTTAAAGTTACACTCATCTTGAACAATAGGAACATCAAAAAAAAACAAAGGAATCAAAATTTTGCAACAGAAAAGCATGCTGATATAAAAGAATAATTATTAACATATTTGTTAATAATTATTTTATATTTTTTTTTTGTTAAATTTTAAGTCTTAAAAATAAAAAAATGTTAACTAAATAATAATTTAAAATATTAACAATATTTTAAAATCATCAATTATTTTAAATTAAAAACATTTTATAAAAAAAAACTTTTTCTCAAGAATTTTTTAATTAACAAATACTTTAAAAGACATAGAGCATTTATAAAATTTCTGCCTGCAACTATATTATTTATTGAATAAAAAAAATAAATAAAATCTGCCGCACATGAAAAAACACTTCAAAATTGCATTGTGAGGTAATAGTAGAAAATTATTTAAATCTTTTATTACTGTCCAGTTTTATAATAATCCCACTAATATTATTGTCAAAAGCAGTTGTCACCAATTTCCATTGGTATTACTACAATTTCCTTGAAAAATTATTTTCCTTTTCAATTTGTCCAGTTTTATTATTATTATTAATATTATTATTATTATTATTATTCAGTATGTTATTAATAGTAGTCAACTTAACAAAAAGTAAATAAAATGTAAGTGGAAAAGAGCAAAACTTTAATTTAGTAAAGGTTAATTTGTGTGATAAATTAATTTTATTTGAGGATAAAAAAGAAAATGAATGATTCAGTGCTGTAATGTGACAAATGTCACGAATAGGAAACGTGTACTACGCCATATCAAACTTTCATTACGTAAAGCAATGATGATGGTAATCTATTATTGAAACAAGAAAATTACAAATTTGATATCATATAAATTTCAAACTGTAATAATAAGCTGTGAAAACTATTAAGCTTATCAACATTTTCAACATATGAACTGGCGGTAAGATATAAGTTAGCGGAATATTTATCAAATAATATATAAAACGCATGTTAAAAATAAAATTATTGTTTATGTGAAAGTAAAAGTTATTGTTTATGAAATATCACAAACAGCTGACGAAAAGTAATTCACATATTGCAGATCAAACGCAGTGAAAAGGAACTTTTAATAAAAGTTAATTTTTTGTGATAAAAAGCAAAGAAGCAAATATTATGTGACATTAAATAAATATTAAGATGATAATTTAAATGAATAATTTAATTTTTAATGAAATCAAAAGTAGTAATAGTTCAAAGTTTGCTCCTTCCTCACTATTTTCCATTAAAATATTGGGTTTTAAATTTTCATTTTAAAATATATTAAACCAATCAAATAACTTATTCATTTTCATTTTTTAATTTTATCATTTTAATATTTTTTAGGAAATGATATATTATATCAATTCGTGAATATTAATTAAATGGTTAATAAGGCACTGAAAAAAAAAGACAAACAATGTTTGATTATTTGAACATTAAAGTTGAAAAGTAATAACAGTTAAATGATATGTTAATAATTAAATAAAGTAAAGAAAAATATTTAAAATATACATTTATTTTCTTTTAAATTCAGTTCAAATCGTTTTAGGTGTGAAATAATTTCAACAATTTGTTAGCTTCAAAAACAAAATTTTAAGAGATTGAAAGAATAAATATTAATAAAGAAGGAAAATTGAAAGGTGGGAATAAAAAATGAAACGATTTGAATTGAAAAAAAAAGGAATTATGAAATGAATTGAAAAACTTTACTGTCGCTGATAAATTAATTGAATTGAATTGAAAAATTTCAAAAGTTTCGTTTTATAAGATAAGAAAATGTGACGGAATTGCATATCCCACTGAAATTTAACTTTTATTTATTATTTTATTAAAATTCTATTTCCAATTGTTTACAGCCATCCATCACTCAGACGAAACAA